AGTGAATCAGAAGGCCAGGCTTCCTACTTGATGCCCCCACAAGGTTTCTTAAATCTCTCTGCCCTCTGCATTTAAGCCCTGTGGAAACAAATTAGGTACAACATTCTGCCATCAACCCAGGATAAACCTCCGCTTAAAGACATAATGTAGTATTTGCAGGCACATCAAAGAGAATTTGGCCTCACGTACCCAAGGCTGTTCCAATCCTTGTACAGCAAAGACAAGAGAAAGTGATTCGGTTCGCCCAAGTCTTTCAAGGCGTCCACTGGCCCATGAGACTATTTTTTCTATAATAATACGTGACAAATCTACAAAACCCATTCCCCTCATCTCCTTTATATTCAAGGGTTATCATCATCACCTGGTAGTAATGATGTCAATGTATCACCAGGCTAAGGCAGTGGTCAGCAAACTCATTAGTCAACAGAGCCAAATATCAACAGTACAACAACTGAAATTTCTTTGGAGAGCCAATTTTTTAAAATTTAAACTTCTTCTAACGCCACTTCTTCAAAATAGACTTGCCCAGGCTGTGGTATTTTGTGGAAGAGCCACACTCAAGGGGCCGAAGAGCCGCATGTGGCTCGCGAGCCGCAGTTTGCCGACCACGGGTAAGGTATTCTAGAAATTGTAAAGCCCAGAATGGGACTAGTATGAAATCTGGAGATAATAACATGAATGATATTCACCATTTTTTGAATATTGAGACATTGTGCTTGGTAATACATTTTCACATGGACTCCTTCCATTTATAGCTCCATTAGATAATGTTGCCATCCCTTTATAAACAAGAAATTAAGGTTCAGTACAGCAGACAGCATTTTCCAAAGATGGCCACAACCCAGTCCAATCTAAACACCTGTCCATCCGAAGATGGAATCCCTTTCTTCACCCTCTTGAAACTGAGCAGGCTCCATGCATGGTTTAGCCGGTGAAATAGATGAAAGTGACAGCCTGCCAGTTCCAGGTATAGTTAACCGGCTAGCTTCCTCCATTCTCAGCCAACAACCTTGCTGAGCGCTCAGCAAGGCGCTCCCTTCCCCCAACTGAGTCTTCAGGTAACTCCAGCCCCAGCTACATCTCACTACAACCTCAAGAGAGATGGAAAAAGCCAATTACCCAGATGAGGCTGATCAAATCACAGGACTGTCAGATATTTACAATAAAGTTCTGATTTAAACCACTAATTTTGGGGGGCTTTGTTTTATGTAGCAATAGATAGCGAGAATGTGGAGATCATTTATTTGTCTGGGAACAGTTCAGAATTATAGCCAGAATCCAAAAGGGTCCAGAGCAAAATATCTATTAATGCTGGGCAATGGGCTGTGGGGGTTCAGTACCCAAAAGCAGCAACTGTAAAACAAAGCTCCCTTTTTCTTCCCTCCCTCGCCCCTACATGGCTTCAGAGTTTTCTGAGAAATGTGCGCTAACACCCTAAATAACATCAATTCCCTTCAGGCTTGAGTTCTTGCGATATTAAATAGGGAAAATAAGGTTCCCCCCACCGCCCTGTGATACCTAATGAGAAAGGAATCTGTACAAGATGTTGACTTTGTTACTTAGAGCATCATTACAACTGTCATATAAAAAGATTCAGATTTTACGTGTAAAACTCTAACTCTAATAATAAAAATATATTTAGTGACTCAGGGAACTACATTTGAGATTCACAGTGACTATGGGGGGAAATGCATTCTATACCAATAAGTGAATAAGACGAGAGGAAATTTTTAAAAGATTTTTTAATGAAAGAAACTTTGAGGAAGAAATGAAGTAATAAAATTGATCTTCAGATAAGTTTCAGTAGGAGAAGAGGTCCATCATTTAAAAAACATCCAATATATTGCCAAAACCGGTTTGGCTCAGTGGTAGAGCATTGGTCTGTGGACTGAAAGGTCCCGGGTTCGATTCCGGTCAAGGGCATGTACCTTGGTTGCAGGCACATCCCCAGTAGGGGGTGTGCAAGAAGCAGCTGGTCGATGTTTCTCTCTCATCGACGTTTCTAGCTCTCTATCTCTCTCCCTTCCTCTATGTAAAAAATCAATAAAAAAAATATATTTTTTTAAAAATATCCAATATATGCTACTTTCGGCATATATTAATACCCACCTCTGGTATTCTTCTTTCCCAGCATATTGGAACTCAGTGGGCTCATTCTTTTTTCAGAACTAGAAAGAACCTTACAACGTGTCCAATTCCTTCATTTTAACTGCTGAGAAACTGAGACTCAGGGCAGTCAACTGAGCAGCAAGGAGTCAAACTACTCCTTAGTAAGAGAACCAAACTCAGTGCTGGCGCTACTACATTTTCAATTTTTGTTTCACCAGAATTTTACCTCCAAATGTCTTCAATGTACTTCAAGTTTATTCAAGCATTTCACAGTGTGAACATGAAAGATGAGGATAGCATGCTGTTGTCAATCTCCTCTTCCAAACTGCGTGAGTTGCACGGGTCTGCTCTTTCTGGCGGTCACAGGGAGGAGGATGACTCTGAGCAGAGCACAGGTGTGCAGCTCAACAGAAGCAGGCTGCCAGGTGACTTGATCCAATTCTTCAGTCACTAACATCCTATTATAGTCTGAATTACTCCCATCAAATACCAGGGCTGCCTTCCTGATGATCACCACTAGAGACCAGGGTACTGACAAACTGGGAGACTTAAATATGGGGTAATTCTGAAGCAGAAAGCAGGATTGGAAAGGTATGAGGGTTAGAGGGGGAGGGGATCTGAGAGGAAAAGCTTTAGGCAGAGAAAGGAGAAAGAGCAAGAACAGAAAGCAGAGGTGAGGGAAGAGCCATTATAACAAAGGCATCTATGTAACAGTTCTGCCTCGGGCAGCTCAGTGAGTTCCAAAGCCTACATCTGCTCTCAGGCTCCCACAGAACTCCCCCCAGAGATGAAGACCTTCAAAATCAGATAAGATGTGGTTCTATGCTTGAACTGTCAACGCAAACACTCTGCAACTCTTTGAAGATCTCCGTAATTCCACAGGTTTTGCTACATCCTAACCCACAGAAAATACTGAATTTGCCTCTGCGCACTGCACAAAATTATACCAAGCTGTCAGGGAAACAGGCCCAAATCCCTTTATTTCTTTTCTACCTCCTGCTATGAAACTGCAGCGAGAGTCCCTCGGTGCTTTTTGTTGCCTTGGCAGCCAAAATGTGCAACTTTTGGAAGTGTTCAAGTAGAATCCAGAGGCTTGGGCTCACTACCCCAATATGGTCCGGCCCCCGTTGCGTCGTCCCTGACTCTCCACGTCAAGAAGTTTCGAGTTCCGATAAAATCAAAACACCTCACTCAGAAATGTCACTCCCCATCACTTTTAAACTCTCCCAGCTGCAAGGGGAGGGCGGGGAATAAAGAGCAAAAACAGAAAATAATTTCATTTTCATATATCTGTAGCAGTGTTTGTAGGGAGAGGGTGACTGCTAACAGAAATAGTGTACAATCACTGGCAAAAAATAAAAAAATAACAATAATAAGTCCTGTGAATGACTGCCTAGGATATTTATTCACGTGTGCCTCGTTATCCTCATCAGTCTTGAGGACAGATGACATGCTGACACCGTGTGGTCTCCAATCCCTCCCATTTCCTTTTGCAAAACATCTATGACCAATGCAAGATGCTCCTATAGAAAATAAAAAACAGCCTGGTAATTGTGTGGTAGAAAAACAAAACAACAACAAAGAGCTGTATTGATAACTATTCTCACAGATTTAAATGTTTACAGCAAAATGGGCAAAATTAAAGGGACCCAAAATAAACACACCCTGTGTTCAGGCTGCTGTGGGTTATTTATTGATCCTGCCTTTGCATGATTGTTTTCTCCACGCGGAACCTTACAAAGAACAGCAACTTGGAGAGCCCCTCACCCAGCCACCATCTTTACTTCCCATAGGGCAGGGGGAGCGCCCGGGGAGGATGACATGGGATGGGGAGGCCAAACAACAGGGTCCTCGAACCCTTCCACCCCGGTCCTTGTGGACTCTTTGGCTGGCTGCCGAACACATTCGTGAGATGAAGGCAAAGAATCCAAACAAAACAAAAGAGCAGGCGTCCCAGCCTTCTTTACAATAGGTGTCCGGCACATGGTAGTGCCAGCAGAGCACGGTTTGACGCTTGGCGTCCAAATCTTTTGCTCTGCCCGTATCCCCAATAAAACACGTCTCGCACCCCTTCTCCTCTGCCATTCCTCCCCCCCGCCCCCAAAAAAAGAAACAAATGTTGCCGGGATCTTGTCATCCTGACAGACACAGAGACACACATCCATCCACCTCACGCGCCCACCGGCCAGTCCATTGTGCGCCAGGAGCGCTTTCCAGCCCCAGGGGGAGAGCTTGCGGGAACCGTTATCCGCGGGAACCGTTATCCACGGGAACCTTACAGAGCCACAGACCGCGGCATCCGCATCCCACACAAAAGCCCGAGATGATGAGATGGTTCAAGAAGATACACGCCGCCCAGCTCGGCACCGACCAGCCGAGGCCACGCCGAGCCGAGCCCTCTGCCAAGCAGAGCCCGCTTAGGAGCTGGACCTCGGGGTCGGCGGTGCCCGCTTAGCCTTCCCTGTTATGACACCGCGCTCTGCCTGACACCCGAGCCCCGCCGGGAGCACATCTCATTCGCGTTGGTTGCTCATTTCTCCAACTGCCCAGCCCTTTCTTCCATCCGCATCCTTCGTCGTCCCTCCAAAAGGGAGCACCCCAAGGCCTGAGTGCTCCCTCTCCGGCTCGGTTTTTCATTTATTTATTTATTTATTTATTTATTTATTTATTTATTTATTTACCTCTTCCCATTCCTAGAAAGGATGAAATGTTTCCCCAGCGCGCCAGCTGGAGAGGCGGAAGGCGAATGCCTCTCCCGGGCTTCAGCACGCGCCCTGGGGCTGCGAGAAGTGAAGACGGCCAGCCACGCGGGGGGTTGGGGGCGGGGGGAGGATCGTCGCGAATCGATCGGCCACCCATAGTTGAAACCCCCCCGAAGCGCTCCAACTTACCCAGAATATGACATTGAAGCCAAAGATGAAATATTTGATGCAACAACTGACTTCAGGGCCCTTGTAGTGCTTCCCGGACATCCTCTGGGTTCATGAAGAGACACTTGCCCCGGCAGCCCGAGTTCGGAGCCCGGGAGGGAGCACCGGGGCTCGCTCGGCGCAGCCCACGGCGCGCGGGGCTCGGGGCCGCCGCTGGGGGGGTCAGGGGGGCCGCGGCGCGGCGGCCCGAGCTGCTCGGCGCGGGGGGACCGGCCGGCGAGAGCGGCTCCCGCACCTCCAGCGACCCGCGAGGCCGCGAGGCCGCCGGACCCGGGTGCAGGCAGCGAGGGCGCAGGGAAGCCGCCGCGCGCTCCGAGCCCGGAGCCTCGCCGGAGCTGACCCGGCACCTGGCGAGCGCCCGCGTGCGTCCGTCCGTCCGCCGGGCGATCCGCCCGCCGATCTGTCTCTGGGCTCCGGGCGAACGCAGCCGCGGCTGATGCTGCCGGGGAAGCTCTCCGCCCGCCCGCCCGGCGGCTCGAGCGAGCCCTCCAGCTCCTCGCTCCGCCCGCCGCCCGGCTCCGCCCGCCCCGAGCCCCCGCCAGGCGCGCGCACGAGCCGGCGCTCCCGGTGCCGGGGCACCGCGTGGCCGCGCCGCCGCCTCCAGGCTCTCCGCCCCGCCCGCTGCTGTCCCCGCCCCTCCGCCGGCGGGCCGAGCACCACCGACCCCCAGAGGGCCGCCGCCGCGGGGCGGTGGGGAGGACGGCAGGCTTGAAGGAAGGAGGGAGGGCGCCCGGGAGCACGCCGATGAGGAGCAGCCTGGCGGAGTGACCGCGATCGATGAGACTGATGGACAGGGGTCCCCCTCCGCCACACGCGCCGGCAGCAGCTTCCACAGGCTCGTGGGGGAGAGGGTCACTCCGGGGCGAGAGGTCACTCTGGGTGAGTAGGGACCCAGGGAGCCCCCTGCCCCAGGACAAGCCCCGCCTCCGGGTGTAAGGACCCCTCACACCCCGTCCTGCAGCACCAGGTTATGGGGGGGGGGGGGGGGCCGACGCGGGGGCCGGGGAGGAGAGATGTAGGGTCTGGGGAAGGGGGAGAAAAGAGCGATGGGAAATGGGGGGGAGGGGGGGAAGAGATCAGGTGGGACGACGAATCGGAAGGACTGCAAAGGAGAGTCTACTGAATCCCAGTGTAGCTCCGTCCCAACCTCTCCACCTGCCAGAGTGAGCTTTAACCTCCTAGTGAGGACAGGAAGGAGACATGACCCAAAGGAGTCCCCATCCGGATGGGACCCTTGCCCTGGGATATGTTGCAGCAACACAAACCCAGATAGCAAATGCTCCCGCAAGACCGAATAGTGTCCCGGGAACTTGACTGGTTCCTAACTCTTAAGAAGTCCAGGAGTTTCAGGGCTGCCATCTGAGGATTCCGAATAGCGGTTACAGATCATGAGCCATTAAGCCTTTGGCCTCTGGGGAAGGGTTAGAACGCGGCTCTGGAAGTAGTTGGAGAGCCCTACCTGAGGTGTAACCTCGCTGCCCTGGAGCACACTCACAGGTGTTAGCCAGCGGGTACCCGTAGGTCCTTCAAGAACAAAGAACCACTCAGGCTGTGAATAAACATCAACGGGTATTTTTTAAGGCTTCAAAAACTAGAAAGAAAGACAGGGTGAGGAAATGTTCCCAGCACAACGCCCGGTAACCCGGACGTTGGGAACAGAACTCTGCACGTTTCCTTGACTCCGCAGGTGACACTGACGAGCACTTAAATTTGAGAAGCTTTGGCAAAGGTTTTCCCTGTTTAACCACCGCTCTCATTTCTCAACAGCTGGCTACTGGTTGACAACCTGCAGTGTAGCTCTGGAGAGGCAAAACGTTATGTTTTCGTGCCATAAACCACCATTTGAGACAGGCGTGGCCTTGGTAGAGGTTGATGCTTCTACATTGAGGTCAGTGGTGGGCGCCAGGGTACTCACACAGGTGGGAGAGCCAGGAGATCCTACCCATTCAATACCACAGAAGTAACTGACACTGGCTAACTTTGGATGATATAACCAACCTTTTGGATAAAATAACTGCCTCAAAAGTGCCTTCCACCCACTCAAGACGCACAGCATACATACTTACCAATCTTCAAAGGTAAGGTCTGCTTTCAGCAGCAGATTCCCTATGAACGGGAAAGCACTAACAAGCTTTACCTAAGCCTATTTGTGCTACATTGTAATTCTTCCTATATAAATAGAACAGTTACTGCAGATTCTTGGATAAGTCAGAAGCAAGGTCTGTCTTAAGTGGATGGGACACAATTTAGAAAAGGACCGGAAATTGGGTCTAATCAATATCTGAGTTGATCCTTAAGCAGGATTTACTTTTGAAATAAAAATAAGCAGAGAAGGGAAAGTTCAGATAACCCACTGGTAATATGGAGAGGAGTGGGAGGGGAACTAGTTGAATCCTCATTTCATACATCAAGAGTAAATCCTATGAGTTAAATGTGTTTTCTAAAGCAAACCAGAAGAAAATAGAATATTTGTTAAACTTCTGGCTAGAAGTATTTCTCATGGAAGCAAAAGAAGGAAATGATCAATAGATATTATATGACTGGACAATAAAACTTCTATGTGCCAAACGTTTTTTAAAAAGGCAACCTAAGCCAGAGGAAAAAATATTGACAGCAAACATTTTTAAAAGTCTGAATATCTACCTATTTTATAAGTAGGGCTCATACAACTGAAGTTAAATATAGAGTTCCAACAATTGAATGTAAACAGAAAACAAGCCACATACAAAGAAATCAAATAGTAAACAATACATGGTAAAAATTAAACTTTCTGGTAACCAGAGACATAAACATTAAAACAAATTAAAGCTAGAGATAGATATAAAGATTATGAGTATTGGTTTGCTCATACACAACTGGCGTTAGGAAATGATACCATCCATTTGGAAAGCATTGGGGCTATACGTTGCAGGTTAGAAGGCTCCTACATTTTGTCTCAGCAGTACCACTTCTGGGAATCTAGCCAAAGAAATACTCCCAAACAGGGAGAAGTTATATACTGCAAGTTGTACATCATAGCATTATTTATATTGAAGACTTAGTCACAACTTAAAGATCCTATCCCCAGCTCCTTGTAGCCACCTGGACCACAGCGCTACTTCCTGTTTCTATGCCTCTGTGCATGTGATTCCTGGTCTCTGCCTGAACACTCTCCCTGCCTTTTTTCTCTGAGCTGCCTCCTCTTCCTTCTACACTTTAATCAGTGTTTTCAAGACCAGCTCATGTGTTCCCTCCGCATTTCCTACAGTCTTCCATTTTGGCACTGGGAGGCTACCTGTAATTACTTGCTTACCGGCTCTTCTTCTCTACTCTGTTGTGACTCCTTCAAAGGTGTGGCCTACCTCCTTTTAATCTTAGAATCACTAGAACCCTACTTATGTGGCAGGTGCTTGGTAGATATTTACTAAAGGAATGGGTGGATCATTGACTCAGACTTTTTATAGATATTAAGGATACTGATTATAGAGATATGTGGCAATGTGTGAACACATTCTAAAGATAAATTTTAAAGATAATATGTATAGAATTATCTCAAAGGAATATTGTTAAGTGAAAAAAAATCATGATGCAAAACAGTATATACAGTAGACTACCATTTTGTAAAACAAATGTGTAGGTAAAAGAGATTGGAAAATTTATTTACACACTGAAGGCCTGGTGCACGAATTTGAGCATGGATGGAGTCCCTCAGTCTGGCCAGTGATCAGGGCAATCAGGGCAGTCTAGCCCAGTCCAGATCAGGGCATTGAATATCTGCCCCCTGGTAGTCATTGTGTGTTATAGGTACTGGCCATAACTGGTCCTAACAGTCGCTTAGGCTTTTATATATATAGATTATTTCCTGGTAATGGTTAGCCTACCTAGGGATATAGATATATATTTTTAATATACCCTTTTGGTTGTTATAAAATTTTGTACCATGTACATGATATACATGTTTTGAAAAATAAATCACTATAAAATCACAAGCAATTATATAGAGTTAATTCTTAACAAATAATAACAGTTGTTAGATTGTGTGATTGTGGGTGATTTTAGTTTCATGTTTCTGGTTTCCAGGTTTTTTTTAATGTAGTTATGTTGCTTTTACAACTACGAAGATTAAAACTATAAACAAAGACAATCATTCTGTTTATTTCATCACAACCCCTTCATGACTCCATAAATTCTGGTCTATTTTAAGGAGAAAAGAGTGAGTAATTTTCTCCCTGGAGACTGTTTCATCCATTTCCTTTATAATTCCGAGATTGAAAAATGGTTAATAAGTTTACTCAAATGCTCATCAGCCTGGCAACTGGCAGTAAGAACAGGTAAAGCATGTTCTTTTAATAGTTACCTACGTAGCTGAGCAGCAAGATATGACAACAGCATTGTTTAATGAGCTTGTCTGTCTGCCTCCCTTCTTTCTCTGTCTCTCGCTGTCTCTCTTGCTCCTCTAGTGCTATATTCTTCTTTTCCTTCTCTGTAGCCAGCACTACATGTTCCTTCTTCTCAGAACCCCGGTGCCGTTCTAGTGTCCCCCACTCTTTTAACAGCCATAAGCTTTGGGAAAACCAGCCCAGGGCCGGCTCCAGGTGGTGAATGTCTCTTGCCAAAGTTTGGTTCCAAAATGGGCACGTGACCCAATTCTGGCCAGTGAGCCATGAGATTCAGCTGGGGTTTCCGCACATCTGAGAGAGGGTCTTGTTTTGGCCTTGGATTGAATTGTGTTTGATGTGACACCTGGATCCTCTACAACCTCACAATAAGGATCAGACCAAGAATGGCCGAGTGAGATAATGAACAGAAAACCCAGGCCTTCCTGACATTGCTGTGAGGCAGACCCAAGCAGACTGTCAGGAGAGACCTGGCCTGGGGAAGGCACCGTGAGAAGGTTTTCAGTTTCATGCAGCTGAAAATATCACACCTGCAACACTTTCCTTCTGATGCTCTCCCCCAACCCTTTGGTTTTCTCTTGAAAAACCACCAGTGTTTCCACGTTTCTCTCGGCATCGCCTCTTTTACCACTTTCCCCTCCTCTCTCTCTCCCATTGACTCTCTCAAACAGTATGAGCGAGGTGGGGAGGGAGCTTTAGCACTGTCTGGCCAGTACTCACCCACCTCTTCCTCTGGGACTTCTCACCCACAGAGTGCTCCCCCACCTCCAGCCCCTTCGTACTCATGCTTGGCAGGCCTGGAAAGATCCAGGTGAGCCAGCCTTTGAGAGTCTCTTTGCAGCTGGGATTCAGCAACAAAGCCATCCCTGCGTGTGGCTGAAACGGAGGTGATGTTTTCAGGAAAGCCGGGGGCCTGCGTTTCCAGGAGGAAGCCAACATGCTCATTCTGCAGAAAGAGGAAGGAAGCACAGGCGCTGAGAGAAACAGCAGCAGACTGTGCGGCTGTGGGCTGTGCGATGGTGTGGACTTTGTGCCCTGAAAGGCTTCCGGCCCTGCCAAGCCCTTCTGTCTACTTCTGGATTTCTCCAGGGACCCTGTGCCTGAGGTTTTTAGGTGGAGTTC